CAAGACCTTCACCCAAATCGTTTTGTATATATCTCATAAGAGAGTCTTTTTTTTCCTCTGTTTCTGAGGGAAACTGCTCGATCTGCTTAGAATCGTTTTTTTTCCTTCGCCATTTATGACAAAGTAGGTCAAACGAGAGGCAATATCAAGGTTAACAGATTTACTTACAGCATTTTTACTTTCCTATCTGTATACAGATATAAGGAAAGTATAGGAATTTTTTTCGACCTCGAGTTTTCGACGGATTTTTACGTTTTGAGGTCCCCTGAATCCGTTTTGACTATTTTCGCGATGATGTCTGTGTGTGTGTGTGTCTGTGTGTGTGTGTGTCTGTGTGTGTGTGTGTGTGTGTGTGTGTGTGTGTGTGTGTGTGTGTGTGTGTGTGTGTGTGTGTGTGTGTGTGTGTGTCTGTGTGTGTGTGTGTGTGTGTCTGTATAACGCATAACTCATGAACCGATACACAGAAAAACACCAAATTTTAAACTTAAGCTTTGTTTCAGCGTCTAATGAGCTGATTAGATTTTGGGCAGAGTCGGAACATTTGGGGGGGTACTTTATAGGTGGTCATTTTTATATTTTATGGAATATATCTGTTATTTACGTTTGGAGAAGAAAATTCTTTAAATAAAAGTTATTTCTAATATTATTATCTATAATTTTTGTTCTATACAAAATTTTCCTAAAATGGTCCGTATTCGAGAAATTTGACAAAATGTAAAAAAATATTTTTTTATAAAAATTGTTCAAATAAAAGTTGTTTGTAATATAATTCTCTATAATTTTTATTCTCTACATAATTTCTCTAAAATTTACCGTATTCGAGATATTTGAGAAAATGTGTAAATTTCGAATTTTGAAGAAAACTCAAAAACGGATAAAGAAAAAAACATTAAATTTTAAACTTAAGGTTTATTTCGGCCTGACGTGAAATGATTAGATTTTGGACAAAGTCGGAACATCTGGGGGGGGTACTTTATGGGAGGCCGTTTTTATATTTTATGGAATATATCTGTTATTTATGTTTGAAGAGGAAAATTGTTCAAATAAAAGTTACTTCTAATATTATTATCTGTAATTTTTGTTTTATGTAAAAATTTCCTGAAATGGTCCGTATTCGAGAAATTTGACAAAATGTGCAAAATTCTGATTTTTATTATGAAAGTTTTTGAAATAAAAGTTGTTTGCGATATCGATCTCTATAATTTTTGTTTATACATGATTTTTCTAAAATGGACCGTAATGAAAAAATTGTAGGAAATTAAAATTTTTCAGTATTTTCGTTTTCCATGAATATCTATAGAAAAATGTTTCGAGGTAGATGTATGTGGACAATGTATATATTTAGTTTATCCTCTAAACATTTATATAACTAGATAGGAAAGTCATGTGTTGGACACATCAGATTTTTTACAGCAGAATTAACTCCAAATACTTCTGCAGCTTGTTGAATATAGAGGTTCTGCGTCTCTTACATTTACATGCACTTCGGCCGCCGTTACTACCTACCCTGAATTAATGTCATCGTCAGAGTCAAACGAGGAAAAAATTATTCTTCTGTATTTCATGGGAGTAGTAAACTCATCACTGTCACCTGAGAAAAAGATGCCAGGATAAGCCCTTTTATGCATCTTGTCACTAAAGGACGAGTAAGGTCTTTACATATTTCTATTCTTGTAACAATGATTCCTGATTAAATAAAATTTCATATATGAACGTATTAATTCATATAAGGAATATTCTTATAATTAATTCATTTACAAAGAATTTGACAAGTTCTAACTTGTGCAGGTACTTCTGACGGTTAGTAAAACCGCAGAAAATAAAAAATTGTAAAATACACGTCTGTCGGCGAGAAAGGCTGCAGAGTGTTTATAGTTAGTTTATCCTTATTTTAATGTCCACTCTTTCACTAAATTATTTAATTAACAGCTACTTATATAAGATTTTTAATTTCTTTAAATAAAGTATATTATTAGTAAGAGACGAGTAAGGCCCTTACATATTTATTTAAATTATTTATTTCTTTGTTCTAGATGAGTAAGACCCTTGATTAAATTAAAGAAATTTCACTTAGATATTAATATAAAAAAGTATTTAGAAAGAATTTGGCAATTTCTTTTAACTACTTTTTATGTAGATTCTTATAAGTAATAACCGCAGAAGCGGAAAATAAAAAACCTATGTGATTCTAACGGTGAGTAAAACCATCGAAACTATCTTAAAATCTTTACTATAAACATTTCTAAAGTACACATTTGTCGACGAGAAAGGCCACAGTGCATCTATTTGTTATTATAGTTTTAGTATTATTTATTTAAGTATCACTATTTTTTTAATTTATACCAAACTTACTTACTCCATGATATATCTTCTAAAAACCTACTTAATTTTGAAGTTTTTTCTTTAGCACTTTTTTACTATTTTGCCGCTTCATATTTATTAGGAAATTCATTGGTAACTTCAAAAACACCAAAATGAGAGTATCAACAGGTCTACAGCAAGGTAGGTCTTTTTTCAACTATAAAAACTGGTGACGAATTTTCGATATACCGGATGTATCTACAATATGTGTTCTAGTGGACTGGACCGAAGTATAATTCATATCGATTGCAGCTTCTTATGAAACAATTAGGTAGGTACTTATTTAATAAATGTGACTATGTATAGAATAGGTAATCATGTTCCTGGTAAATGTATTTGATGCATGATGAGATAGGGGACGCATATTCAAATTAATTAATAAACTATCTTTAAACTGTTTACATCCTCAGAGCTTGCATCGTTTCTTCAACGTAATCTTATGATGACATTGATGCCGGTGACCTTCATTTCAAATTTAAGGTTTTAATATGACTGCACCGAGTTTAAATAATATTACCAAAAATTATAAATATAAACGGATTTTCTTTATTGAAAATTAACTTTTTCTTGAATATTCCCCATTTAACTTCAGGTAAAGAACTGGAGCAAGAAGGGGCAAAATAGGAAAACCTGGACTGGGATAGTAGGAGAATTGGCAAAAAAATATTACACTGAGAAAACAATTTGATTAAGCGATGCTAGGCGAGTGGTTGCAAATGCCTTGGGCATTGTGGCTACTTTTTTAAGTTTTACAAAGGGATATCAACTTGGAAGTATAAAAAGCTATTAGTCCGGGATCCCAGGCCCATTTTCACCCATGATTACTAACAAGCAGATTTTTTGTGAGTAGCTTCATTTTGACGAGACGCCCAATTTTTTCCTTATAACAATTTTGGTAAACGGTAGCTAACAGGGGTAGCGGGGGTTAAATATGTTGATTTGACGAATTTCAAAAATTTATTACCTACTCACTGAATTTTTCTTTGTTAATTCCCAAGATAATCCCAATTAATAATTAAGTTATCCTCTAGCTCCTATTCCATTTTCACTCTGTCATACTGAAGGATCAATTTGCAAGACCCCCAAATCTGTTGTTATTAGTGAAAAACCTAGTATTAAAGATTTTGAACATGATTTGAGAGGTAAAGAGGACTCACAATATGACGTCTTACGTAAAGACAATAACAACATCAAATGATGTAATTCAAATTATTGAAGAGTATATGTATGTAGAGTGTACTCGTTAAAAACAAAAAATGATATCAACAAAGAAAGGTATGAGCTATTTGAAAAAGGATATAAATATCAAGAAATGATAATAAAAAAGTATTAAAAAAAAGTATCGTAGGATATGATCCTTCCAGTTTACCACCAACAAAACAAGAATTGCTGCAACAAATTAAAAGGACAATATTCATCTCCAATGTACGGTGTAATGTACATTTGCGGTGTCCCACCGAAAAATTGCCAGAAAATTATGGATGGACAATAATTGATAATAAATATCAATATTATTGGTTTGATGGTCCCCAAAGCCCATCTTTCGAAGAGTTATCTTCTGACTTACAAGGTACCCTATTAATATTATTGTTATTTATTTATTTATTAATTATTCGGCGATTTATTAATTATTTTATGTTATTACAGAGTCGGACGTCACTAACGAACAAAGTGAAGAAGAGGGAGATGAATATGAGACTGATGCTGTTGGCGAAGATGATGAAGATTTTTCCGATGAATCTGATGAAGATTAATGTTTTTTGTTTATATAAAAAAACCTAGATTTTTTTATGTACATTGGAAAATAAAGTTATTTTCATTTCAAGAAATATGTTGTCACTTAATGCTGTGTTACAAATAGGGAAACGAAAATGACAATTCTTGTAGGACTAGCAATACATACCTGTTGCTTGTAGGACATTGTTTTATTTGGACGAAAAACATACTAATCTATCACATAATACTTTGGTCCTACAGTTACTAATAAAAAAAATTGTCATGTGGCATTGGCAACTTTTGATCATAGGACCAGGATGTCGTACCACGTAATTTGTAGGACAATGTGGGTGTTAAATTATATTAATATTAACTAACCAAAAGAAAAAAAAGTCAGCTGGTTAGTAATTATTTTTCATGACCTTGTTAATTATACATGTTGGAGAGGGGGGACTCTTTGATAAAACCTTAAATTTTGTAGGACAAATATTTCCTCGGTTTATTTAGATAATTATATTTCACCCCCGCTACCCCTGTTAGCTACCGTTTACCAAAATTGTAGTAAGAAAAAATGTTGGGCGTCTCGTCAAAATGAAGCTACTTACAAAAAATATGCTTGTTAGTAAACATGGGTGAAAATGGGCCTGGGATCCCGGACTATATGTGAATTATAACTTTTATCAAAAAGCTATTATGTTTCCTATAAATTAATGACTAAAAAACATATTTTTTTCAGTGCGTGGATAAAACCATAAGGCTGTCGTTTTTTTTCTTCTTTTCTGTAACCTCCATTCTTTTAATCCCAACGAATTTTTTTGCTTAATAGCTCAATCTCTCAAATCAGTTTTCTTTATACGATTTCGTGATTATTATTAGCTAGACTGTAGTGTCTTCTTATGGATAAAAGAATCAACAAACAAATACTCATTGTTTAAAATATTTTAATATATGACACGTTTACAAGTACCTTTTAACCTTATCATATAAAACTAAAACCAAAGCCGATCCGCACCCACGTAAAACGTTGGACAAAGCACCTTTGAAGTACGCCCTGGGCCCCTCGTTTTTGTAAATTTTCACCCAGCAATCTAGAGTGTTCTTGTAGATGACGTCTTTTTCTTCGACGTTCGATTGCATCATCAAGCGTCTTCTTACGGTATCGAAAGGATACGATGTTAACCCTGCAAGCAGCGATACGCAATTTGCTAGGATGACTGAATTAATGATGGATGGATGCGCGGGATCTGGTAATAATACTTTTACAGAATCGTAGAAACCAAAATAAACACCACGATACACGAATATGCCCTGTATTGAAGCATTTAATCCTCTGTATAAACCCATTAGACCATCGGATTTGAACGTTTTATATAGACAATCGTACACACCTTTGTATTCCTTTTTTGTTCCGAGTTTACTCACGTCAACAGCTAAGCGCGTTCTAGCATAATCAAGGGGATAAATAAACAGCATTGATGTAGCACCAGCAGTACCTCCTGCTGCTACGTTACAAGCGAAAAATGTCCAATACTGTTTCGTTTTGTCTACTCCCTCTAAAAATATTTTCTTGTACACATCTTTGAAAGCGAAATTCATTGCTTGGGTGGGAACGTACCTCAGAACGTTGGCCCAATTCCCCCTCCACATGCTGAATATTCCTTGCTCCTTTGGTAAGCGGATGAATGCGTCTATGATACCTTTGTATGCGTCTTTTTCTGATATATCCTTGTGGATTGCTTGTATCTGAAGAATAATTTTAACGCGCTCGATGGGTGCCATGGTGGTTTTGACCACGCCAGCTGAAATGCCACCAGCTATGAATCCTCTGACGAATCCCTTTTTACCACCATAGGGCATATTGAAAATGTGTGTGTTTGCATATGGAATTTAGAAATGATGACGAATAATACATGGTATGATCTACTTTTAAATTTTAATCGTGGTGTAACATTTTAACCACAAACATTATGTGTCAGAAATGACATTGTCAGTTGCACTATGATAATACAGGCAACTGTATTAAGTGATATGGTAAAGTCATGCCTATGAAGACTAGAGATAGAAAATCAAAGTATGTGCTAGAGATAGTCAGGCCATAGTCATCCTTTCATAGTCATTCCATCTGGTGTGCTTCCCGTTGACAAGTAGTGGGAATGATTCATCACAAAAATACAAAGCGAGGTGAAAGAAAGTAGCCTGCTGATATTTGTACGTCAGTTTTTTAAAAAATCTGCAATATTGTTACTGTTAAGTGATGATTATATTTTTTTACTATTTTTTATAATATTGATTGCAAGGAAAAATTATGAAATGATTTCCATAAAATATCGGCTGAATTACTTTTTATTTGAATTATAAATAAATATTTATATGGAAATTTCTAGAAGATGAAGATTAACGTTATAAGTTATTATAATAGTTGATAATTATGTTTTTGTTTATTGAATTGATTATTAATTGTAAGAGAAGAAATATAAATATGTCAGATAGGAAACAAAAAAATAAAATGTTGGATAAAAAATAAGATTAAGGTATTAGAATTGAAGAATTGGTAAAGATTAGAAAGTGAAAATAAATAAAAATATAAAGAAAGGTTAAATAAAATTTATTCAAATAAAAAAAATATAAAGAACATCTAGGAGACGTACAAATAAATTACAATTTTTCTTTCACTTTTTGGAACATAAGGCATTATTTTGCAGATTGTCATACATTTTTTGAAAGATGTCTATCCATGACAGTTAATCAGAAGCTGTCAGGTTCTTTGCCAACTTAACAAAAGAATTAAAACTGAAAAATTATTGAAAATGAAATAAAAAAACCATTTATAAATGTACACCTTTACACTTACACAAATAATTCAAAACTGAAACTAATACTTTTACATCTGTACATCTGTAGATCCAATATCTTTCTTGAAGCCAACTCTGTAGACGTCTTGATGTCAGGTTAATGGAAGACAAACATAGGCTAGTCTTCACTTTCACTACCTACATCATTTTATAAGAAACACACCGAAATACCAACGAGCTTGAAGGTTAGCTGAATGTGAGTACCGGTCAGTACATCATTGATTACCTACATAAGTATTATGAATTTCACTATTTGTATTTTTAAATGTAGGAGGTATTTACTTTATAATAAGGATTTAAAGAATAATATGAGATATGAGTGATGGAAAGGATAACCTACGTATATCCTAGTTCATATAATGAACTGTAAAACAAGTCTCTAATTTCAAAAATTTTTAAGCGCGTAACTTATTTCCAAAATTTACGAATATCTTTGTAAAAACAAGATAATCCTTTTGCATCAGTCAGAAACAAGTTGTACTAAAAAGTTTGACCCGATTAACCATAGTCTTATTACTCTTCTTGCATCAAAGTATGGTTAAATACGGTCAACAGAAGAAATTTACATTTTGCTTGTCTCAGTCAAAAAATTTTTAATATGAGGACACCGCCATACTTTCATGAAAAACTAACATTTAGAACTGATATTCATAACCTAAATATTCGTTTTAAATCCATACTTAGATTGTCTAGATTTTTCAAACCTAATTTTAAAAGTTCTTTTACCTACAATGTTACAGTCCATATCAATAACCTGTTAAAAATTGATCCAACATTATTACATTTGAAAGCAGAAACCTTTAAATGCCACTATAAAAATATACTGCTACAAACACAATAATTACTTTTTATTTCTACTCTTTTTTTCTTATTTTCTTCTGTTTTATTCACTCAATTCTCTTTTTCCTTCTCTTTATCCTTTTCTTTTTCCTTTTCTCTTTCCTTTCCTTCTCATTAAACTCTTTTTATAATTTTAGGAAGTCATCTCAAAAGGCATTTTTTATATCATGTTGGAATTGGTGGAGAATATTTGCACCTGAACCAATGAGCCAATTGTCTGCTCACAGCTCCACGGCCACTTTTGTTATTTTAGTTTTAATACTCGCAATTAAATTAGTTTCAGAAAGTTTGATAAAAAATTTCGAAATGTTCAAAATGCTATTATTTATCGTTTCTACACAAAAATAACTTTCGTTTTAATGTATATTTAATCTCAATAACCAAAAAATATAATAACAATTAGTTTGACAGAATTATCACTTATTTAAAAATTTAAAAATAATAGTGGTTGGGTGTCCAAAATATGAACTGTGATTGGTGGATTTCATTTTTTTGGAGTGTTTTCACTACCTAGAATGGATATGAAATATATTCGTTCAGTTGAATGCAATAGCATACTTTTCCGTTTTGTAATCTGAGCGTAGATAAGCTAATATCCATGTGGGTGTAAAAAAACGATATTACCTATTTGTTATTTCACTACGGCGCCACTTCGAGAGATATATTAGGAACAAAAACAGATTTTGATAATGTTTAGAATTTGGCATTCTTTCTTATTTAAAATATTTCGTTATTCGTTATTCGTTTTTTTTTTTTGTTTTTTTTTTTTTGTTTTTTTTTTTTTGTTTTTTTTTTTTTTTTTTTTTTTTTTTTTTTTTTTTTTTTTTTTTTTTTTTTTATATTAAAGTTAAAATACAAAGTGTTTAAAAGTTAGCATTCTTTTATATGATTTTTGCTTACACATAGGTAGGTCAGATGTGAAAAGGAAACAAAATAAATATTTTTCATAAGTTAAAGAAAGCTGCATTAAACCTTTCAGGCGCGAGGCCCTTCAGGCCGCGAGGTCGTAGGCAGTGGCCCACGTCGCCCACGCCTTGTGCCGCTTCTGATTGTAAACTAGTCACAACACGTATCACGGAGTGTAGTTTATTTTATTACAAGTTTCTATAAAATAAAATTTTACAGTCATTGATCCTGACTTACAAACAACAATAATTATACATTAAATTTAACTTACTAGAAAAGAAAATTTGTTTTTTTTTATAGTTTTAATGTTAGATAAAGAGTTGCTACTGTTATTTTTTTGTTGAATTCCAATTTTGTCAGTGTAAATGTTTTTTTATAGTATCCTAAACGCTTAGAATAGTAGCAGCATATATACCGTTCTTAGGGCCGATAAAGCACTTTCTAGAGATGATGCTGTTCTATACTTTTTAGATAGTACTGTTAGCCAAATAAAAAGGGGAAAGCAGAAATTAAAGGTTGAGGCAATATCATTTATATTCCCAAATATCCCTTTATGCTTGTATTATAACAATAAAAAAATCTGTTAACTGTGTTTAATTTTGCTGTTGAAACTATATTTAGGTGTAATTCAAAAAAATTTAGACAAAATTGTACTTACGAAATTTCACCATTTAACAAATCTTTTCGAATTTGGCCACACCTACCTATTTGAATTTTATATAGATAAAATTCAATAATTTATCAATTAAAACTTGCGAGATTTATTTAGAAATAAATACAACAGTATATTTTGTGCTTTATTTGGCAATAAACTAGTTTATTTTTATTATTTTGACAAAATTATGTAAAAGCCATGTATTTTGAACAGCGCTACTAGCAACAACGCCCTTACGGTGAATTAAAAAAGCGTTCGTTTTTTGGGACGGTATTTAGAGTATTCGCTTCATTCTATCTAATACTCTATGCCTTGGACTTTTACAAACACGTAAACAATTGTGCAATCCAATTTTTGGCTGATGATATTCAGCTTTTCCTTGACTTTTCAACAAATGAAATCATTACTGCAGCCAACTCAAGATAAATGCCATTAACAATTCCTATGAAATAAATGCAGTGAATGCAGTTAAATATCTAGGAGTCTTCCTGGACTCGAATATGAAATGGGATATACATATAAAATACGTTTGCAAAAAATTAAGAAGTCTTTTATCTAAATTTAGATACTTAACAAATGTATTAACCCTTAATCAGCTAACAATTCTTTATTACTCCCTAATTGAGAGCCATATTAGATATGGACTTGCAGCTTGGGGAGGAGCATTAAAAACCTATATTCACCCTCTTCAAGTTTTGCAAAAATATCACTTAAAAATTATCTATAAAAAAAATCGAAGATTTCCTTCAGATGAACTGTTTAATATTTCCAAGGTTCTTGAAGTGAGGCAACTTTATTACAAAAAAATTGTTACGCATTATCATTACAAAAAAAATATATATATATTTCCAATACACGACCACAATACCAGACAAAAGCAGTTTCAAATACTACCTCTCATGCAAAAAGCTATTGGACAGCGTTCTTATGCATTTGTCGGTCCCAAATTTTATAATAGACTACCTGAAGATATAAAAGAAATAAACAACAATTACAAATTCAAAAAAAAATTAAACAAATATGTCTCAGAGAGTGGTATAAAGTTCATTACAAATCTGTTGGAATAATTACTTTAGGAAGAAAAAATTAAAAATAATAGCTATCTAAACATTAACAAATATCCTAAAATTATGTACCTCTTTATACTTTGTACTCAACTGAATTCAATATTTTATTCTAATCTACTTTTGTCTACAAAAAAAAAAAGAAAAAAAAAAGAGAAGAAAAAAGAAAAAAAAAAGAAGAAAAAAGAAAAAAAAATATGTAAAATCTTAAATCTTTAATCCAAACTTTAAATCATAAACTTTATTTTTCAATTGTTAATTTTTATTTTACTTTATTTTAAATGTTCATATTCTATATTATGTATATAACAATTTATTCTCGTATTTATCTGCAAACAAGCTTATGCTTATGCAGTTTTATAGTTTGTTCAATTTTCTATATTATTTTATAATATTATACCCCCATTTGTAATGTGAATGAATAAACTTACTTATTATTATTATATTATTATTATAGCCGAAAATTGTCTCGCTTTACACATGAAGGAAGGTTGTGTATTAGCCGGAACAGGGACGGTGCTCCCAAATGGACTTTAAATGTTTTCTGTTTGGGGAACAAACATGATAATATTAATATTTCGTAAGAATATTTGTCAGATTATATTGTGCAATGAAAAATGTTAATGACTATGAGGTATCGGAAAAAAATAATTGATGCATTGAAATTTAATATTTGAAAT